AAAAAAAAAAAAAGGGAAAAACTACAGAAAAAAGTAGAGGTGAAAGCTCCACCTGGTGGTTAACATATAAAATTCCAAGTTGACATTACCATAAACTTCACCTGACTGTGTAGTACCAGAATCTCTAGTATAGAAATGTCTATGGATTATGAAGTAGGAAGGAAATTACTGTTATGTATTAACTAATATTTAAGGTAATTGATGGTGGAAAACTATTAACTAATATTTAAGGTCATTAATGGTGGAAAACAAAATCTTTCAGAGGGTGTTTAAAATACTTGCTCCAAGATAGTTCCCTGAAAAAAAAAAAGTCCCAAGTTCTAATATCTTTGAGAAAAAGTCTTAAATCCCATCTCAAGCATTCATAATAGGTATTCTCATACTAAACCCCCTGACAAAGTCTAGAGATCAACTTTACATACTTTAACTTGGTATTGTCTGAGTATGAATAGAACTTTTCCTTCTCTCTTTTTTTAATCTCTGGTGTTTGGAGAAATGCCACTTTGAGGACATTGGCTTTTAAAAAAGACTATTTGGGCCAGGCATGGTGGCTTCAAGAAATTTCTTTTTTTGAGACAAGAATCTCAAGCTGTTACCTTGGGTAGAGTGCAGTGGCATAGCTCACAGCAACCTCCAACTCTTGGGCTCAAGTGATCCTCTTGCCTCAGATTTTCTATTTCAAGTAGAGATGGGGGTCTTGTTCTTGCTTAGGCTGGTTTGCACTTGTGAGCTCAAGCAATCCACCTGCCTCGCCCTTCCAGAGTGCTAGGATTGTGAGCCACGGCGCCTGGCCAGCTTCAAGATTTTTTTTTTTTTTTTTTGAGACAAGGTCTTGCTCTGTTGTCCAGGCTGGAGTACAGAGTCACAAGCATAGGTTACTGTGTCCTGGAACTCTGGGCTCAAGTGATCCTCTCACTTCAGCCTCTTAAGTAGTTAGGATTATAGGCACAAACCACTGTGCCTGTCTTCCCCCCAAATTCATATTCTAACACCCTAGGCAATGGTGTTAGTAGGTAAGGCCTGGATTAGTGCTTTTATAAAGGAGGCCCCCTGGAGCTAGCTAGCCCCTTCCACCATGTGAGAACAGAGCTATAAATCAGCATCTATGAACCAGAAAATGCTTCTCATCAGACACCATATCTACCGGCTTCTTGATCTGTAACTTCTCAGCCTCCAGAATACTAAGAAAAACATTTCTGTTGCTTATAAGCTACCCTGTTGATGGGAATTTTGTTACAGCAGTCTGAAGGTGCAAAGATATGTGTCTTTTAGTTCTGCTCATTCTTAATTTTTGTTTCTTTTTGTGTGTTCTTATTCCACATTTTGTAACCTTGCCTCTGCTGTTTACCTGCTGTACTCAGTTAAAAATCCTTGTCCTCCTCCTACCCTCCCCAACCCTTTGGGCCAGGCATGGTGGCTTCAATAATTTTTTTTTTTTGCAGTTTTTGACCATGGCTGGGTTTGAACCTACCACCCTTGCCATATAGGTCTGGCGCCCTACTTCTTGAGCCACAGGCGCCACCCAGCTTCAAGAAATTTTTTTTGAGACTTTTAAAAAAAAGTCCTTTTTAAAGTACCCTGAATCCACTTTATTTCGAAGCCTATCCTGAATATTGGCTTTTCCTCCCCCTTTTTTTGCAGTTTTTGGTCAGGGCTGGGTTTGAACTCGCCACCTGCAGCATATAGGGCAGGTGCCCCACTACTTTGAGCCACAGGCACCACCCCAATATTGGCTTTTGATTCCTGTTCCTCCTTCAAGATTGTATTAGCATTTAACAAGCAAACTCATCCTCTTCCACCTTCCAAAACAACCTTAGCATACATATTATAGTAATGAAAATGATGCTATCTTATTTCTCATGAACTTACATAGGCTTTGAAGAGCAAGTATTTGATTTTTTTTCCTATTCCATAAAATGCTGATAGGGCTAAGCTTTGCAGAATTTTAGCTGCTGTCATACCTAGAATTCTAAGAGCAACACTCACTAAAGGTTAAGTTTGCCTGAGACCACCACCTCCAGGGTCTTTCTAACCTGTTGCTGTCTCATTTTGCTCAGTCCTTTTCTTGGAAAGAGAAGCAAACACATCAAGATTAACTAGTCAAAAATTGTATGTGTTGTAGGTAGGGGTTGGTGGAATTGGGGTAGCAGAAGGAACACAGGAGGAAAACAGGTAGACTGATTAGAAATACATATAAAAGTATTTATGTATTCTTATGTATAATTCTTCCTAGGCCAGGGATCTTGGTCTTTTTGCTTACATCCTATCACCAGCATCTCAGGTGTGTCTGGCACAGTGTAGGTGCTCAGTAAATATTTGTTGCACTAAGTGAAAGAATGAACTTCCCACTTTGTTTTTCAGAGATGTGGTGTGTGGTACCGGAGTTAAGCATGGCCCTAGAGATGTCCTCCATTTCTCTTGCAGAGCCGAAGTGGCTCTCTCTGAGTGGCAACGACAGTTCTTCACCCTTTTCTGTGACCTGCAGGGCATAGAACCCGCAGTGGCTCCCGGGAGGCGTGTAAGGGAGTCTCTCTCGTACACTCTTCAGGCCCCTCTGCTGGGTACTTGCCCCACGAGCCGGTTGTCAGGGTTCTCTTCCCCGCCCCTCTGGCTTCCTCTCTGCCGGATGCCCTCCCTTCTTCCCCTGGCGTCCCCCTCTACCCTGCCCAGCTCTCGGATCCTTCCTTAAGCTCCCGGGTGTATCGCCCCACCCCAGCTCTGTCCTTGCCCTTCTTCCCATCATGCCCCGCCCCAGCTCTGTCCCCGCCCTTCTCCCCACCGTGCCCCGCCCCAGCTCTGTCCCCGCCCTTCTCCCACCATGCCCCTCCCCAGCTCTGTCCCCGCCCTTCTCCCCACCGTGCCCCGCCCCAGCTCTGTCCCCGCCCTTCTCCCACCATGCCCCTCCCCAGCTCTGTCCCTGCCCTTCTCCCCATCATGCCCCGCCCCAGCTCTGTCCCCGCCCCCTCGCCTCTCTCCTCCTCTCCTCCCCCCTTCCCTCTCATGCCCCTCCCCCTCCCCTTGACGTGGCAGAGGCGGCACCAGCCATGTTGGCCGGGCCGAGGTCCTCGCTGAGGCCGGGGGCGGGGCGTGGCCGGCTCTGATTTCGGTGCCACGGCCTGCTCCTGCTCGGCAGAGAGGACTGATTGTGTAAGGCAGAGGCTGCGACAGGCTCAGATCTCGCAAGGGAGGTGCTCAAGGTAAGGACGGACTTCAGGGCCGTCTCCTGTCCGCTTCCCGAGGGGCTGAGGGCGCTCAGCGGGGGCGGGCTGGCGGGCCGGGGTCTTGCGGTGGTCCCGGCTCTGCCCTCTCGGAGCCCCGAGAGAGGCGAGGCGCTCCGGAGGCTGTGGGTCCGGTGGGGTCCGCCGTGGGGAGCGTAGAGCACCGGACCTGTCACCTTCTCCCTCACCGCCCTCTCTCTCACCGCCCTCTCTCCGCTCTATCCCGGGGCCTGGGGAATAGCTGGAGCCCTCATCCAGCTCTCCTGAATTATGTGGAAAGATGAGAGTTGGGTGAAAAACAGGCACTTGGAGCATCTCGCCTAGCGCCCACCCCAACTCCTGGGCGACCTGGCTTCTCCACCCCGGCCCATTATCGCTTCTAGGCACTTGGGCTTCTTGGTTCATTCCCTGCATATCTGGAGTGCCCTAGACTTTGAACTGAAGTGACTTGTCACCCGTAATTCGGCCTTGGGAGTTAAAGGGGGAAAGATAAAAGTGCTAGGTAGACCTAATGCCTTGGGCCTTAATTACAAATAGAATTCAGACAGGACCAATCCTATTCCATTGGTTTCTGCCGTACTGTTTTCCCGTTTCGGTGGGAGAGGTGCTACCTAAGTGAATGAATCTAACGTAATTACTGGAGCAGGAATATTTCTCCTGGACTTCTCGGCCTCTAACCTAAAGCCATGGATAACTAGCCAAATGATCTTGGCAAAAAAAAGTTGTAGATTTGAATATAATGCACATTCTTCCTTTCTTCTCTCTCTTCTTCAGTAGTGTAATTACCATTTTGGAAGTCCAACCAATTTTAATTGACTCACAGAATTTTAGAGTTAGATGGGACCTTGTAGTTTTCTGGCTCAAGTCTCTCAGCTTACTGATGAGAAAGTTGAAGATGGGAAAGGTTAATTTGTCCAAGATTATAAAGTTAATCTGCAGGAGTAAATTGAAGAGGAATTCATTGAGGATTTTACAGTTGAAAAATAGGAGAGGCAAATTTGTTTAGTAACATGTATCTGATTAGAAGGAACTCAAGTTTTACTAGCAGGTTTGTATGCTTTTCAGTTAGGTAATGTATAAATAGTCTAAAACTGGAATATTGAAAAACTGTCATAATGTGGGCATGTATTTTATATACTAGGTTAAAGTGATGTAGTGCTTTGCTTCTTTGCTGTTAGTTCTATCATGAGAAATTATTTCACTGAAGTGGTTCCTTAAAAACTCCAGTGGTCCCAATGATAAAAAGTAGTTCCGACAAATAAGATTAGAAACTGAACTGAAAAAAAAAAGAAAAAAGAAAATGAACTGAAAAATGGGACATTTCTTTAGAATGGGCTTCTGTGTTTTGTATCACTTAAAAAAAAAGACTGTTAAATCTGCATTCTAATATAGTGTGTTACTTTTTATTTGGTTTGATGCTTTTATGCAAACGTGTGTTAGAGGAGAAAGCTTGCCAAATCATGCCATTATTGGACAAGCTAGTTTGTAAAAGGACTTTATTTCACATATGTCATTGTTAAACATGGGACCAAGCCTGGTAGGTAGCAATGCATTTAACAATGGCATTTGTACTTAAATTAGTGATTTTAGGATTGCACAATTTCTGCTTTGGAAAGATGGAGTCAGGGAGATGTGCATGGCCAAGTAATTGGACCAATTAAGAAGAAACTTTCTTCAAGATATTGCTGGAAGGTGAGAATGTAAGAGATGTAATGGGTCTGACTTAGCGAGCAAGTATGATGTTACGAGCAGAGAGATTGAGAGGAAAAGATGTGAGGAAGAGGAGGTGCATTGTGCTCGAATATCAATTAGATGATATTTAGTCTCTTAATAAAAAGTAAAGATGTAGAGTTACATCCAGCCTCTTAACCTGGTGTGGAAACAAACCTGGCTGTTAGCTGTGTGTGTGAATGTTTTCCCACTGAGACTCCTGGAAGCTTTCTCAGTAAGGTTCCATTATGGTCCTAAGTCAGTGCTTCTTAGGGCATCTTTATAACGTTCAGTGAGGATCTGGAGGGGAAAATACCTTAATAGAAGTCAGGTAACTTTTTCATCTACTTCTGCTTTCTGTTGTTTTATGCTAAGTATTGTGGTTGAATTGTATCAAGGAAATCTGACCTTTTAATAGCTTTTTCAGATACTTGTGCATATTTGATACTACGCCAAACTACCTAGAATTTAATTAAGAAATTAGAAGTGAATTGCAGGTGGGGCATGATGGTTTATACCTGTAATGCTAACACTCTGGGAGGCCCAGGTGGGAGGATCACTTGAGCTCAGGAGTTCCAAACAGCTTGAGCCAAGAGTGAGAACCTATCTCTACTAAAAATAGAATAATTAGCCGGGGCTCTGTCTTTGTTCAGTGGTTAGGGCGCTGGCCAAATGCACCGGGACTACTGGGTTTGAACCTGGCCTGGGCCTGCTAAACAATGACAACTACAACAAAAAAATAGCTGGGTGTTATGGTGGGTTCCTGTAATCCCAGTTACTTGGGAGGCTGAGGCAAGAGACTCACTTAAGCCTAAGAGTTTGAGGTTGCTGTGTGCTGTGATGCCATGGCACTCTACTGAGGGTGACATAGTGGGACTCTGTCTCCAGAAAAAAGAAATTAGCTGGATAAAGTGGTGCAAGACTGTAGTCCCAGCTGCTTGGGTGGCTGAAGCTGGAGGTTCACTGTAGCCCAGGATTTTGAGGTTACAGTGAGCTATAATGATACCTTTTCATTCTACCCAGGCAAGAGAGTGAGACTCTGTTCCAAAAAAAGAAAAAAAGTCAATTGCAATGTGGAATCTGAAGCCTTAGAAGTTAACTTTTTGTACTCATTACATTAAAACGGATCGGTCTATCCTATACTTTGAGTGGATCATCTACCCATGCATGATATTTTAACATTATGAATTGGTCATTTGGGAAATATTGCCTCACAGAGGAATATATATCTTCCAAATGTTGACATGCTTCATTATACAGTACCAAAACAATCACATTAATACCAACAGTGATCTCATCAGAAAAATCTTTACATATTGGGGATCTGTCAAGCTCACAGTAGTACAAGGTTTCAGAAATTTTAATAACAATTTTATCATTGGCAACAAATACTATCAGTTGTTTCCAGTAAAGTAACAGGTTAATTTTGTTCATTTTGAGAAAATGACTTCAAAATACCTACTACTGGTTATGTCCTATACTGGGAAAGTTGAGAAAATAATCACTCAAAACATATTTTGTTTTGTGTTTCAGATGAACAGTGATGATTGGCATAGTTACCTTTGAAAATCCATGATTGATTGATTGATTGATTTCCTTCCTTCCTTTCTTCATGTTTTTTTTTTTTTTGAGACAGGGTCGTTGTTGCCTGGGCTAGAGTGTAGTGACATAATCATAGCTCACTGCAACCTCCAACTCCTGGGCTCTGATAATTCTCCTGCCTTAGCCTTCTGAGTAGCTGGGAGTACAGGTGTGCGCTACCATGCCCAGTAGTTTTTCAATTTTTTTTCTTCTTTAAATTTTTATTTTATTTTATTGTAGTTGTTTAGCAGGCCTGGGCTAGACACGAACCTACCAGCACTGGTGTGTGTGGCTGGCGCCTTAACTGCTGAGCCATGGGCACGGAGCCATTTTTTCAATTTTAGTAGAGGTGGGTAGGGGAAAGTAGAGGAGTGGGGATGGGTGTCTCCCTGCCCTCGAGAGATCCTCCCGTGGCTTCCCAAGTGCTGAGATTATAGGCATGAGTCACTATGCCTGGATGAAGTAATCTCTTTTGATAAGCATGAAATTCTCTAGTTGTCTCAATTCTAATATGAAACAAGGAAATACAATATTTTCTTTCTTTTTTTTTCGATACTGAACTCACTATGTTGCCCTGAGTAGAGTGCCGTGGCATCACACCTCACAGCAACCTCAAACTCTTGGGCTTAAGTGATTCTCTTGCCTCAGCCTCCCAAGTGGCTGGGACTAAGGCACCTACCACAACGCTTGACTATTTTTTTGTTGTAATTTTCATTGTTTAGCAGGCTGGGGCCAGGATTGGAACCTACCAGCCCCAGTGTATGTGGTCTGTGCCCTAACCACTGCCCTACGGGTGCTGAGCTGTTTGCTTTCATTTTTCTTTTCTTTCTTTCTTTTTTTTTTAAAGACAGAGTCTTACTTTATTGCCCCTGGTAGAGTGCTGTGGCGTCATAGCTTATAGCAGCCTCCAACTCCTGTCTCTAAAACAAATAAATAAATAAATAAAAATAAAGGAAGTACCTTGTTTTAGGAAAATATTTTTGTTATGCACCACTAAATGTTCTCTTCCAAAAAGTTTAGTGGAAACTTGTATTCTGGATAGAAAATCATATAAGTTTTAGCAGTTTATGATTTTGATATATGTTTATTAGACTCATATAATTTAAAAAGCTGATACAGAAGATACACGATCTAGATTTCCCCCCTATTTTTGCCTGTTTTCCTGTGTACCTTTAAATAAATAGGACACTTAATATTTTTGGCCATAGGTTTTTTTTTTTTTTTTTTAGAGACGAAGTCTCAATTTGTCACCCCTGGTAGAGTGCTGTGGCGTCACAGCTCATAGCAACCTCTAGCTCCTGGGCTTAGGCGATTCTCTTGTCTCAGCCTCCCGAGTAACGGGGACTACAGGTGCCTGCCACAATGCCTGGCTATTTTTTTTGTTGCAGTTTGGCCAGGGCCGGGTTTGAACCTACCACCCTCGGTACATGGGGCCGGCACCCCACCCACTGAGCCATGGGCGCCGCCCCATAGTTTTTAGAAAGTGAATTAAAAAGTATAAAATACCTCTTGATGGACCTAATGGGCATTGGGTTCTGTATAGCCATTAATTATTTTGTTATGTAAGTGGGGTTATTGTTTGCTAATTTTTTTCTGAAATAAATATTTTCATTTAGTAGTGCTTTCCAATGTATTAATATTACTGAATGTGGGAAAAATATATTTATTTGCACTTTTCTTAAATGAATCCTAGATTTCTAAATATCTTTTAATTTTGGTACAGAAATAAGAATCAAGATCCACAATGACAACTTATTTGGAATTCATCCAACAAAATGAAGAACGAGATGGAGTCCGATTTAGTTGGAATGTTTGGCCGTCAAGTCGACTGGAAGCTACAAGAATGGTTGTTCCTGTGGCAGCCCTCTTTACACCACTGAAGGAGAGACCTGACTTACCACCTATCCAATATGAACCTGTTCTGTGTAGTAGGACCACTTGTCGTGCAGTTTTGAATCCTTTATGGTAATTAAAATGCATTGAAGAAATTACTGTGGCAATATAATTGAAAAATGTAGTATCTTTCTTGCTCATTTGTATAAAAATGGCTTTGCTTTTCTTCATGGTTATTTTTTCAAATTATGACATTAAAAAAGCTGTAAAATTTTAGGATCATTCTAGCTATAGTGAGTTAATAATATAAAGACACCAAATGTAAAAGTGTCACTGTAAAAGCCATTAGATCTTAGTGTTTTCTAGATGGCAGTGCTGGCA